AGTCTGCCGAGGCCTGTTCAGACCATGTGTGCTGTCCCACCCTCCCCTCCACTGTGCAAATGCTGCTGGCAGACTGAGGTCCTCACCGATGTCGTCACTCTCGGGTCAGGGCCCAGTAACATGCTCTGCATCTCCCTACAGCCATCCTGCACAGTCTGGCCATGCTCTCCACTAGTGGGAGGGAATCTCATCTGCTCTGCTGGGCAGGGCTGCAAGTGGGAAGGCAGAGGCCAGCAGGGAGTATTTACAGGAGACTGATGATCCTGAAGGGGAGCTGCATTATGAATGGCATGGCCCCGTCACCGTATACCCAGTCAGTCCACATTGGTACAAAAGGTATCTTTATTGAGGTCTGGGTAAGAATTAGGCACTTGGCCAGAGCAGCAGCTTAAATATGAGGCAAGCAGGCAAGAGTTAGCCATGCCTGGGACCAGGCTGGGGCAGTGAGGGTACAGGCACTGACTCCCAGACAGAAGTCAGGGAGACAAGAAGGAAGGAACACAGAGGTCTGGGTCAGAGGCCTGATGGGATGGCCCCTGGGACTGGGCAGGAAGCTCTTGGTGGCAGATCCAGCAGGGGGGAACCAGGCTTTCTTGCTCCATGTGACCCTTGACCCAGGCCCGAGCCTCCAGTGGGACAGCCTCACTGGGGGCCGGCCTCCCCAGTCTCACTTCTTGACCTTGGCATCATAGGTGCCAGCATTCTTGTAGGCACTCACGTAGCCACTGTCGTCCAGGATGTCCTGCCGGCCAGCGATGCCCTTGCCCTTGCCACTCTCATCGAAGCGCTCTTTGTGGGAACCTGTGTACTTACTGGTGTCAGTCAGCCGCTCCACAGCACCTCCCGTTTTTGCTTTCTGTTTGGACAGAGTTCCCACAGGTCACCTGAGAGGGAACCTGGCCCATCCTACCCACCCCCACGCCAGCTGAGATTCCCCACATCCCTCTCAGCAGCAGGGTGAGCAAGGCACTTACAGTGACACCCAGGTTAGCTGGTTCCTTGCCTGCTACCAGCTGACAGATGGCATCAAAGGCCTCTTCTTTGCTCTTCCCCTTGAACCGCTTGGTTGCCAGCTCTTCCAGGGCCTTCTTGAACTCCTCGTAGTTGATTACTCTAGCTGACTTCGCCCTGCCACACGCCACATGCACCATAGGGACCCCTTGGTGATGTCCTCCCTGATTCCAGCCCCAACTCCCACTTTCTGGGAACATGAGAAACAGGGTTTGCCTGGCACTCACTTGACTTTGGAGAAGACGATGTCAACATCTGTACCCGTTACAGCCTTTCCGTCTGCCACCTTACAGTCCTTACACAGCTTGGCCCAGTTCTTGCCATTCATCTCCTGTCCACTGGCCTTGGGGTCGCCATGGATGGCGAACTTTCGGAAGCTCTCCTCCAGCCCAGCTATGTCAGTGCTTGCTGCCATGCCACCCTGTGGGGACGCACCGTAGTCACCTCCCATCCAAATCGCTCCTCCCTCCTCTAGACCCAGAACATCCCTACTGCCATCTGTAAGGTCTGAGTTGGCCACACTTCTGGTACAGTCCCTCACTCAGGCCCGGCTGTCTGGGGAGTGGGGTTGGCACCTTGTGTTTTCTTGTGCCCCAGAGCTGAGAAAGAGCCATGGGCAGAAAGGTTCTGACACACTCAGTGCCAGTCCTGGTTCTCAACAGGACTCAGAAGATGAAATCATGATGCCCACACAGCACTGAGAACAGAGTGGCGCTGTCCAGGAAGACAGAAGGTAGCAGCCAGGGCACGGCTTTGTCTGTCCCTGGCACAGAGCCTGCTTGGGTGGGAGGAGGAGCAGAAAAGCCCTTCCTCCCTGTGAGCTCCATGTCAAGCTGGGCCAGAGCCAGGCAAGGCTGGTGTATGGGCAGGTATTTAGTGAGGACAGTGACTCTCTAAGGGTCTTGAAGACCTAGAGAGGCCCAGCCTACGCCTGACAAAGAGCAGGAGCAAGGGCAGGGGTGCATGCCCTAGGCAGGGGTGCATGCCCTAGGCAGGGGTGCAGCTGGCCCAGCCCTGGCCTTGTTACTATTTGCTGTTAAACAAAAACATGAGGGGAGCAGGAACTTGGGTCTGGCCTGGCCACAGTTTGTGAAGCCTGGAGACAGTTGCTAAGGGAGGGTGGTGCTGCTTGGAGAGTGTTGCTAAGGGTAGGATGGTGTCAGGGCGGCTTCAGGGAGAAGCTCCCAGTGCTGCTGGGCTGGGCTGGGCTGGGCTGGGGATCAGGGGCCCACGGGTGGGGCATGCCAGCACTCCCTAAGCCTAGGGCACAACCGTGGCTTCCTGGCCCCTTGCCACTGATTGAAGCTGTAGCTCCCAGTCTGTGGAGCTTAGGAGTGGGAAATTGGAAGGAACCTAGGTGGAGGCTCGTAGAGTAGCCCCTAAACTCCTCCATGCTGCTAGTGGGACCATGATCTTAGTGCCTCAGTCCTTCCCTGAAGCACACATCTACAGTTGAGCCCTCTGCTAAGGTCTTCTTACCACACCCTGAATTCCCGCAGCTCATATGCACCGAGCCCTGGCTCGCCATCACCCCAACCATACCCACAGCCCTGCACTGAGGCCTCCTCCATCCACACACAACGCCCAGAATGTGACTCTTTCCACTTCCATCCCGGGGCAGACACGGAGAGCCCTGCTTTGCACCCCTCCTCAGCACCCCCTCAGCCCTGCACTAAAGTGCATATTCATAGCCCCCTACCACAGCCCCTGACCACACCCTTACTCAGCTCTCTGCAGCAGCCCTCTGACCACACCCTCAGCCCCACTCTGAAAGTCCCTCTGCAGCTCCCATTTTGCATCCTCTTCATTCACATCCTGAAGACCCCAAGCACACGCACTAACTTCACTCTGCACCCACAGCCCTTACAAAGGCCCCCGCCCTGCCCTAGAGCATCCCTTCATCTATGGGCCACAGCTTCTGCCACAGCCCTGCTTTGAACACTACCCACGATGTCCAACCTATGCAATAACATTTCCATACCCCCATGCAAAACGTTCAACACCCACCAACTCCCACTCACACCACACCCTCAGCTCTCCTGTTCCATCCGTATACCTAGAGCTGTTGACACAGACTACCTCCAAGCCCCTCAGAGTCTAACCAGCACCGGCATTTCCATACGCCTGCATCATGTTAGGACATACCACCATCACCACACCCACTGCAGCATCCTGACCACACCCTCATTCTCAGCCACCATCTTTACCTCTGTCTCTCAGAAAAAAATCACCAATGACCACGACAGCCCCCCCCCACACACACACAGCCTCCTCTTCTTCCATAAGTAGCCACTGAAAGCCCCTTTCCTGGTGACCGCACCTACTCGTCCATAAGTTGCAGTTCTTAGGACTGGAAAACCCAAAGATCCCACATTTCAGGGACCTCCGTGGGACTGACCCAGGTGGTACTGCACTTACTTCCCTTTGCCTCTCCCAAGGTGCAAACCCCAATCGGGAAGCCAAAGCTCTGCATTTGTTCACCAAAGGTAAACATGTCCAGGGGTATTTGAGTGCTACACGGTGCATGTCTCAAGGAAACGGGAGGGTCCTGAGCCTATGGTTCATTTCTATCTAAGGGTAGATGGATAAGGGGGCTGTTCAGGTGGAACAAAATCACAGACAGCTGCTCTGGGGTCTGTAGGCCTTGGATGGAGTGATCATGCCTCTGAACTGAGTCTGCCCGTCAGCTCCTGCTGGGACAGCTGCAGTCATCAATCAGCCTAGCAAGGAGGTGGGGGCAGGGGTGTGTATGGAACGCTTGGGGCCAGGGCCGGGGTGCTCAGCTGGTGTCCTCAGCTCAGTACCATCCAAGTGTTGGTACAGGCTGCTCCCACCCACCCCTCCTTGTGGAGGATATTAACTAGGGCGGTCGACGTTCAGTTCTCCTACCGGCTTCTATCTCGTGGCTGCTCCTGAGCGTGCCTTCGGATAGACAGGACGCTGGAACTAATCGACAGATGCTGGAGACCAGGAGGCTCCACAGCTCCGCTCCCTACTGGCTCCCGGACGGGACTGCAGCCGGGGCGGCTCCGCGGTATTATCCCTTGTTTCTCGGTCACCATAGAGACCGTAAGTCCCACCCCCTAGGCAGTCTCGGCGGGAGAGTGACCAAGGTCACGCTAGCTCCTCCCACCAGACCCCGCCCTGAGTGCTCAGTAGGCACTGGGCCCTTGGAGTTGCGGCGACAACCTTATCCTGCCCCTCCCCTTCAGCCGCAGTCCTCAAGCAGCCAGAGCTGCCCTCTGCAGTCCTGGATGTCCTAGAATGTCCTAGGCCCCCCAAAGTTCAAGCAGGGTCCCCAACCCTTAAGGGACTCCTGAAACAGTCGACCTGAGACTGCTTAGAAGCTGAATTGAAGAAAAGAACGGGATCCCGTCCCTCATTGACAAGGGGCTACAGCTAGCTCAAAGACCACAGTTACTGCTAACTGTGGCGTTTGCAAACTACTCCCAGGTTCTGAGTAGGGTCCAGATTCTGGAGCTTTGGGAGAAGACCGAGACAACCAGTGGATCACAAGTGCCTAGCCCCGAACGCTGGATACTTTGATGGTGACCACTGTCAGGAAGCAATTCCCAGACCTCGAGAACGACTGTCTCCTTCCATTGCCACCTCTCCTCTCCCATTGTTCCCTCCCGAGCCTGTATCCCCCTTTAGTCTTCAACAGTAAACACTAAACTAAATAACCTTGCTGGGCATAGTGGCACGCGCCAGTAATCTGGGTATTCACGAGACTGAAGCAGTGGGTTCAAATGCGGAGGCTAGCCTGGGCTACAAAGGAACTGGGAGGAGGAACAGAGGAGAGTAGTCGTGCTTGACTGTGAACAAGACCCCATTTTTAATCTCCAACACTTAAAAATCCTCTAGGGAGCCTTCCACGACCTTTCCTAACCCACCCTACTCTCTGCCCAAGGCCAACTAGTAACAATCACGATCCGGCTTCAGGAAGACCCACGGCTCTTTCCATTATGAAAATAAGCACTAAGCCCGCAAAAGCATAAAAAAAGTTTATTGGAGCATCAGGGCTGGTGGAGCGGATATTGCTGAGTCTTGGGCAAGGGAGGCCGATCCCGCCGGCCTTGAGGCCCCTAAAGTGCACTAGGTGCGGCGAAGATGGGGTCTTGCATAGAGTCAGGCCGCAAGCACTAAGGTAGGCCATTTTCACCACCAGCAGGTTTCCCGGGCTCGCCGCTGCTTGGGCTCACAAAAACGGCCGGAGAGCGTGCCTGTAGCGCCAGCCCAGACTCTCGGCCCCTGGTTCCTGGGGCGCCCAGCGCAGCACTGCCCAGGCGTGTCTGGGCTACTGGAATCTCTTCCATGTACTCGGCTGATGCTGAGTAGTAGGCGCCTGCAGGGCCAGGCGCATGCACAGGGCTGGCACTGATGGAATCCGATGAAGAGCTGGAATGGCGGCAAGGGGTCCCAGTCCCTGCACAGTAAGAGGATCTTTGGTTGAGACAAGGGCTGCAGATACGACCTTAAAACCTTTCCCTCCCTCAAACTAACGCCATAGGACCCAAGCAGAGAGGGGTGCTCACCCTGCAACCTGGGCAGCGGGGGCTCCCGGCCCAAGATCCCAGACCTGGACAATCTATACACACGCCGCTTCCTCTTTTTCTGCAAAGACAGGGAATGTGGGCCACTTTCCTAGACCCCACTTTGTCAAAAGCAGCAGAGGTAGTACTAAGAGTAGAGGCTTCTTTTCCATCTCCCTCTTCTTGGGCAGAGGTCCAAACCCAGTCCCTCCTACCTGGGGTTGGATCCGTGGAGGCAGAGCCAGTGTGTCTGAGGAGGAGGGCAGTGGTGGTTCCACTTGGCCTTGGGTGGCAAGAAACTGGGAAGGACTGAGGTAAAAGCCAGAGAGCAAGCTCTAGATGCTGCCCCCGGAGTCCCTCCCTGCTAGAGGTTCCCTTCCTAGCAGGACAGAGACACTGATCCATCCACGACTTTGCTGAGCTGGACCTAGACCCACGCTTTGCCCTGACCTACCTCCCTTTCTCCCACCGCCCATGGAGACAGCCAGGTGGTGCTTACTTGACATTTAATGCTGCAGGCCTGGCCTGGCCGGAGGGCTCTGGACGCACATGGCTGAATGTCCTCATGTAAAACTCCATCTCCTCGGGAGAGAAGGGGTCAGGAAGGCTGGGAGACTATGTCTGGATCCACAGCCTCCTAAGCCCTGGACACACCTTGTCACTGGCCTCTCTAGCTTGCTGGTCTCATGTCCTAAGGGGTCTAAGGCTGTCTTCCTAGTTCTCAGATGAGCTGGGAAAGCCCTTCTGCAAGGCAAGGCTTCAAACACTCATTTCTAGACCTTACCTCATCATAGGGACTCACTTCATCTAGTCAGACTCCAGCCATTCTACCTGAGGAAGACTGCAGGCACTTAGGTACAGTGTGCCCAGACTGGGGAAGCATAGCCAAGAGGTTCTTAGGGACAAGACACTCAACAATGGCCCTCACCTGCTCCTGGCTCCTCTTAGGGCTCCAGCCACCGAACTAACTTGTTCAGCGACCAGGGGACCACAAAGCTGTTCACAGAGCAGCAGCTCGTGTGCTCCAGACTGAGAGCACCAGTCACACTGGCAGCATACAAAGTGCACCCTCACTCTCAGAGCGCCAGCCGGAATTCTGGCTGCTGGGAAGGAGGATGTGGGTGCAATCATAGTTGTCTCTATTCCCCAAAAGGAAAGGGTGCAGGTGATGAAACAGTACTAAAGCCCTGAATCTTGCTCCACACAAAGAGAACTCGACGGCAGTGAAGTAGCCAACCCTGAAGCAAAAGGGCTGGGAGTGGCTGGGCCGGCACCACTGTGTCCCAGATGCCTCCAGCTTTGCCAGACAGAATTGCAGGTGAAGAAATGAAAGCCCGGGAAAAGGCAGCTCAGGAAGGGCGTGGGGCAGAGGGCAAAGGGCGGGGCCCATGAGCTGGAGGGAGCACGCAGACAGCTGTCGCCTACTAGGCAGTCGTTTCCATGGTGACAGAGGCGTCCTGACTAAGGCAGGGACGACACTAACAGAAAGCCGTCTCTAAAACAAGCCTATGTTTTGGGGGCAACGGCTCTAGAGAGGGGCCCCTCCCAAATTCCTGCTGGGTGGGGGTGGGGAGGCTGCCTGCCAGGTCCCTGAGCGTTTTAGGGACTAGGATAAAGCTCAGCCAGCCACTGGCTAACCACACAGGTGTAAAGACTCAGGCCACAGATAAGCCCATGTTCAAACTCTGCCCAAGATGACCCTTTGGGGAGAATAGGGGAGACCTGGCCAAGCAGAACAGCACAGGAGTCAGAAGCTAGTCCCAGGCACTGGAGCCTGAAGGTCTTTTTCCCTCCTTTAGTAGGAACTCAGCACCCCACAGCACCCAGCAGAGGGGGACAAAGGCTACCTTGGATCCCCTAGTCTCCAAGCTACCGTAGAAGTCAAGCCCTAAGCAGCTAAAACAAAGTCTGAAGATATCACCAGGAGGTGCCCACTCAGACCCTCCCTCCTCTCCTCAGAACTGACCCTCAGAAACCTTCAAACATTTGCACATTCCTGAGCAGTACTTTAGAGCCTCTCTGCCATAGCTTTCTCTTTCTGTGAAGAGGACCAGCACCCAGCTCCTATAGAGTAGGCTTTCCCTCAAGTTAGCTGTAAACAAGCAGAATCAAACATCTTTGTTGTTATCACAGCTGGGTCCAAAAAGTACAGGACCCTGGAGTCTGGGCATCCCAGAGCAAATCTTGCCTATTTCCTCTCCTGAGAATCTAGGATGGCTATCCCTATCTGTATGCAGCTCAGAGCCCAGGATTCTCTACCAGTTGCTAACACTCCTCAGCCTGCCCCGTAGGCAGGGTTAAAGCCCTGGAGATCAGAAAAGGAGAGGCAGGGTCCTTTTCCAACCCGCCCACCAGCCTGTGTTTGTATCCAGTTGCCATGAGGATTTGGGATCCAGGGCTCAGCCTTCCCAGCATAGCCTGCCTGGGCCCCCTGCCTTTACAGTCCCTAGGGGCTTTCAGGACTGGACCACCTCCATCCCCAGCTGCTGACCTCAGGAAGCCAGGGGGCATGGGAATGGAGATAGGCTGGTCAGCAGCTGGGCTGGCCAGGCCAGAGCCTAGGTTGCAGGCCTCTTGCTTTGTTCTCTGTGTGTAGGACCTTAACTCTTCCCAGATCAGGCTTCTGTTTAACCTTTCTGAACCTCAATGGACCCATGGACTGTTACAGTTGACCCTGTTCTAAAACTAAACTGGAAGATGTAAGAAGTCAAGATTACAGATAACTGAGGATTACAACCTAACTACCCAGTTGATAACTGGTGTTTGGGTTCCTCTACTACACGCCTGGTGCCTGAACAGAAAGGTACATGGGCCTGCAGAAACTGCATAGCTTTTGGCGATGTTGGTGCCCACTGGCCCAGCACAGGCCGGGTCCTGCTTCCCCAGGGCCCACTCCAGCTACTATTCTAGGCTTGCTTCCCTTGCATGGTCTCCTCCAATGGTTCTTTTTTTGGGGGGTGGGAGGTTTGGTTTTTCGAGGTAGGGTCTCTCTGGTTTTGGAGGCTCTTGTAGACGAGGCTGGTCTCGAACTCAGAAATCCGCCTACCTCTACCTCCTGAGTGCTGGGATCCTCAACGGTTCTTGATGCACAGCCCCACTCCCCCCCCTCACCCCCACACACACATTCATGCCCGGGTCTCTGGGCCACCTCTATACCTTAATGGGCTGCATCTTGCGGGGGCATGACTCAAGCTCCTTGTGGGTCTCCTTTGCTTCCTGAGCTGGGCGGTGCTGTACGATGTACTCATAGGTGGTAAGTTTGTGCCATACTGGTGGGTGTGGGAAGAGAGGGGTCAGTAGTGTAGAGGTGACCCTGGAACTTAGAAGGGAGGGCACCCAGCACTAGGTTCAAATCCCTAACCAGGCCTACCACAAGGAACCAACACTAGTAAGGTCCATCACTGCAAGGCTCTACAGCCCAAAAAGACACCTCCCTGCGGTGGAGACGATCCCATCAATGGCAGCTTGGAGGAGGCACTTACTTAAATACATGTGGAAGCAGAACAGGTGGCCAAGCAGGGCTGTAGAAAGCAGGCCCAGGAAGATGAGCAGGGCAGCCAGGGCCAGGATGGCAGGAGCCTGGGTCTCCACAGGGGCAGCAGGCAAGAACACAAACCACACATCTGTGTGATTCTTCAAGACTGCAAGGCATACGCAGTCTGTATTTAGCCAGGGGTCTCGTGCATTGACTAAAACATGTCTGTGTCTAGAACCCACACTGACCTTCAAAATGTTGGTTAGTACGAAGCCGCATGGGGTTGACAAAGAACTCCACGAAGACATAAGTGGCTACCAGCACCAGGAGCAGAACACCCAACAATGCAGATGCCACACTGTGTAAAAAGAGCCTGGCCCAGCCACGGGCAGCTGTCAGCACTCAGGAACCCAGCTTAGTAAGGGCCAGAAGCTCAGAAGCCAGGCTTCTGACCCCAAAGCCCCAACTCCTCAGAAGTCAAAGTCACAGAGCCTGAAGACGGACAGCCACTGATCAGGCTCCCCGTTTTCATCTGGACCAATAGGGTGGAAGTCTCCAAACCCACCCTCGTCCATCCCGAGTATCACCTTCTTGGCATGTGCACATCCCTACCCACCACTATGCACTGTGTTACCAGCGGTCTTCAATAGAGCCCCAGACCCCAGCTGACTCACCGGTAGTTCCTCTCGCCCACGCAGTTGTTGAGCCACTTGCAATGATGGTCGAAGCCGCATACACATTTGTTACAGGCGCTGCAGTGTTTCGACCGCGCACTCCTGAGGAGGGTCGGGGAAGCACCTAGAGGTCGGCCAGCCCACCCTACCTTGGCAGGTGAGTCTCCCTAATTACCCACAAGCACCTCCGCCCCTCCCGGATCGCTGCAATGAGGAGCACACGCGCCCTCTGGCGGAAACACAGGGTGGGACCCCTGGAGAAGGTTCTGAGAACCACAGTAGAAGGAAGTGGGGTGCTTTGTGGGGCCCTACTCTTGAACTACATACCTACGTAAAGTTCACATGAGAAGGAAAGGAGGCGTCCTTTCCAAGCAAGGACCTCTGTGCCAGACCACACACAGATGCAGGTGTGGACCCGAGGCAGAGTGCATAGCTGCCCAGCGGGTGCGTTAACTGCATTTCTAACGGCTCCATTTTGGGGTCACTTTCCTTGCCATCCTATGGGAATTTTTCTGGCACTCTTCCAGAAGGCCTGTGTGGGCTAACTGTAAAGGAGCCAAAAGGAGAGGTGTTCACTGTCATCTAGGGGCATTAAGGGATCTCATGGGCAAGGGACTTGTGAGAGAAGGCCACATTAGGACACAAGTGGAGTCTCCCCAGGGGGCATCACAGAAGACCCAGATGAGATAGATGTGAGCAGCATGATCTTCCTCCATCACTCAGAGCAACCGCCAGAGCCACTCAGAACATTTGCTAGCTGCTCCTTAGGGAATGACGACAGGCCTTCCAGTTCCTGTAGACAGCCTGCAGATTCTAAGTGCAGAGCTGCCCTTGAGCTACACTCCACCCCTCAGCCCATACCTGAGTCTGGAGATTTCAAAACTCCAGTAATGTAGGGAGGAGGTACTGGGATTTGCCAAAGGAGAATGAGTGTTCCACGTCTGTCAATAGAAGTAGGACATGGAGCAAGCCACTTGGCCTCTTTGGCGTCAGACTCCTCATGGGTAACTGAGTAAATGTGCTGGGGTAGGGGGTGAGAGATGGGGGTACACAGCTAAAGTAACCTTGACTCTGCTACTCAGTAGCCTTGTAGCTTCAGGACACCTCCCAGCTTTCTGAGCAGTAGATTCTGGCTCTTTTGTTAAAGGACACAGTACTTAGCCCAGAACACTTCAGGCTTAACCCCCTCCTGTCCCTATCCAGGTGCCTTTTTTTCCCCCTTCAGGTTTTCAAGACAGGGTTTCTCTGTGGCTTTGGAGGCTGTCCTGGAACTAGCTCTTGTAGACAAGGCTGGTCTCGAACTCACAGAGATCCACTTGCCTCTGCCTCCTGAGTGCTGGGATTAAAGGAGTGTGCCACCACCGCCTGGCCTATCCAGGTGCTTTTAAGAGACTAAAGATGTCATTAGCAACCACTTAGAAATGACTTTGGTGCCACCAAAAGCCTCCTGTTTTGCTATAGGAAATGCTATTCCTCATCCTTTTTTCTAATACTCTCAGGTCACTCTGCCAAGACTTTTTGTCTTGTTTGTTTGTTGTGTGTTTGTTTGAATCTGTGTCTTACTTTGTAGCTCTGGATACTGTCAAGCTCACCGAAATCTTCCTTCTTCAGCCTCCCAGTTGTTGGGATCACTCGATGCACCACCATGCCCAGCTCTACCAAGACTCTTTAGTTTTGTTTTTGAGACAGGGTCTTACTGTACAGCCCTGGCTGGCCTGGAACTCACTATGTAGACCAGGCTGGCCTGAACGCAGAGAGATCTTTACACGATTAAAGGTATGTGCCATCACACCCACCCTCCACCACAACTGGACTATGGAAAGGACAAGTGTTCAGAGGCGTACGTATGACCATGAAGCCTGGCATGACCTCTTTACCCTGAATGTAACTGTGATGCTCCAGGCACATTCATGGCCCACACGTTCACTCATGCACTCACACATCTACATCGCACAGGTTGCAGTGCAGGTCTTCAATGACGTGTGCATGCTTGCTGCGGTTGAAGATAGGCAGGGGACCAGAATAGCTCTTGTCCCGCACATTGGCATCTGCTGGATCGATGGAGACAGCAGTCAGGTGTACCACAAGGTGGCCGGCAAAGATGGCACCCATGCACTAGCCCAGCAGGTTAAAGAGTCAGTACTGTGCAAACCAGGAGCCCCACCCACTTACTTAGACATAGGACTTCCCCGTCCATGCAGATTTCCTTTGTACAGAGACTCCGCCTGTGCTATGTTCTCCTGTCAATCACCAGATTTCTTTATCAGACCGCTAGGCCCTGGACTGAATAGGGTCATATGATAATGGAGCCCAAAGGCCAGGACAACTTACTACTATCACCAAGGGGGTCTAGCCACAGGACCAAGGCCTCACCATCTCAGGCCAGTTTCTGGTCTCAGATTTCAGAAGGTGAAAAAGACTAAAAGACATCATCCCTTTAAGGTCCCGAGATCTAAGTTGAAACTCTGAGCTTGTTTTCTTTGCTTTCACAGGAGGTAACTCTGAGACAGAAGCAGCTGCCCCCTTTCACTAGCTAGGGTCAAATGGAGAGCCACTTGCAGGCAGGACTAATCTACTTGCTGCCTCCCCTCAAGTCCAGGTATTTGGCACCCTAAGCTGAGTGTCTGCGATAGCCTCATGTTCAGGAGTAGCCAGGACAGTGTAGCTAACTCCTGGAAATAAAATGAAGCTTTCCCAGGACTTACCTGAGCCAAATACAGGAAACGAGTGTGCTGTGGACTGGGTGCAAACTCTCTATATACAAGTTCACCAATAGGTTCTATCCAGGCAGACATTTCTTTTCTTCCCTCTATCCCATGAGCACTCTTTGTCCTCCTACTAGCCAGGCAGATACTGTCCCTCCACCCCTCAGGACCTGACCACTAGGAGCTAGGCTTCCAGAATGCGCTGTACCACAGACGAAAGAGCCAAATCTGTGCTCAACACTGAGCTCTCCATTGTTATGACCAATGCTGTGGGTCAGCTCTTCACCTCTTTCTCTTCTCCTCCAGAGGGTACCCTTCCTGTGTTCCAGGAGTGTGCTTTCAAAGAGCCTACACCTAAGCTCTCCCCTGCATCAAGGCTCACACTGGCTCTAATGTCTCTCTAGCTGAGGTTCATGCCTTAGCCCAGAGCCAAAACACACCTCACTCTGGTTTCTCCCAACTCTAGACACTCACTGTGGGCAAACATTTAGTTTCCTGCCTTCTCCCAGTCTTCTCTACCATTTCATTCACTCAACTGTTTACACAGTTCTCCCCTTTGCACCAGACATGAAGGAATATGGAGACTTGGTCCTGAGCCCTAAGAAGCCTGCTGCATGATGGGAAGCACAGATACTAATCAAATGGTACATCAGTTCCATCCGTTTGTAACTGACTTGATCTAGTCTGACAGGATCTGGGAGACTCCTCTGAAGAAGTTTCATCCAAGTTGAGATGTGGACAAGAATGTGTGGAAAGCAAGGCAGAGAAAGAAAGAGCCATGCAAGGTGTCAGTCAGAGAGGTGGCTGAAGTGTTGTCCCAGCTCATGACTGCCATAAAGGACGAGGACCCATGCTGCCAAATTCTGAGCTTTCAAAGGGGACTCAAATAATCTAGGCTTGTCAGGCAGAGTGGCACACCTTTAATCCCAGCACTCGGGAGGCAGAGGCAGTGGATCTCTGTGAGTTTGAGGCCAGCCTGGTCTACAGAGCAAGTTCTAGGACAGCCAGGGCTACACAGAGAAAACCTATCTCGAAAAAAGTATCTAGGTCTCCATGTGAGATCTCTCAATGTTTAAATGTTAAAAGAAATGATTTTCAAAACATGTAGAAAACCTGTGCATGTTTGGTGTTCATCATCCTACAATTTTACACAATTTGACAACCAGACTGACCCACTGGGCTGTTAGCTCTTGGCCTCTGACTCAGCTGGTTGGTGAGGCAAGAGCTTCTGGGAAGAGATCATTGTTGTCAAAACAGGGAAAATAAAGGGAAGCTGGACAGACAGGCAGACTTCACATGCAGAAAGCCATGAGGTCTAAGGAGAATCTTGAGCCTCGTTTTTAAATCTTTTTTTAAGTTGTATTTATTTATTATGTATACAGTTTTTTGCCTGCATGTATGCATGCATGCCATAAGAAGGCACCGTGTGCTCTTAACCTCTGAGCCATCTCTCCAGTCCCCAGGCTTCATTTCTTTTTTTTTTTTTTTTTCAAAACAGGGCTTCTCTGGAAGCCATCCTAGAACTCACTCTGTAGACCAGGCTGGCCTTGAACTCACAGAGACCCACCTGCCTCTACCTCCTGAGTACTGGGATAAAAGGTGTGGGCCACCACTGCCCAGCCAAGCTTCATTTCTTAAAGCAAGAAGAAGCTGCTAGATTTTGAGCTGGCGAAACATTATCAGCGTGTGTGTGTGTGTGTGTGTGTGTGTGTGTGTGTGTGTGTTACTCTGGCTTCAGGAAGGGAAGTGGGGGAAAGAACAGGAGGGAGGGAGGGAGGGAGGGAGGGAGGGAGGGAAGGAGGGAGGGAGGGAGGGAGAGGGGCAGAGACAGTGTGTGTATGTGCAAGAGCTGCGGTAGTGAGGAACAGGAATGCACCTCGGAGACTTACTAGGAAATTAACCACACACCTAGGTAGAGAGGCAGGGAGCAGTAGGAAGAAGCCGTAGGAAGCTGGGGAAAGAGGTAAACTCAACAGTCCTGATGCCTGACTGCTATCAGCAGTGCAGGAAAGGGAGCCAAGCATGTGAATCAGGCTGGGAGAAGGGGCTGCAAGCAGGTGTGGGCTGCTAGGTATATGCCAGGCTGCTGGAGATGATGGCATTTTTCTGCTCCCAGTCTGCCCCCTGACCCTTCCCACGTTTACATGGAGGGCAACCACTATGTTCAACCTACCAGCCTCCTCCCCCGGGCCACTACGCACCTAAAGTCTGGGCCCACAGTGGGGACTTGGTGCCTGCTTCATTCCTCTGAGGCCCTGAGAACTTGCTTTAATAGAAGGGACTTTGATGGCACCATATAACCTTGGTCAGGCTGCCAGACTAGGTGGCTCTGGGAGCTTTCATGTGGCTCAAAGAGGATAAAGAGAAAATATAAAGTAGATCAAACCTTCAAATCATTCCATTTCCTCAGCCTGAGCTGCCCGTCTGGCCTCACTGGGTACCAGCTGTGTGACCTCGGAAGGCACTTCCTGTCTGAGTCTCTTGCTTCATATGGTCTTACATGAGAAATGCCCTCATATGTTCGTGTATTTAAACTTGGTCACCAACTAGTGGTGCTGTTGGGAGGTTATTGAACCTTTATGAGGTGCAACCTTGTTGGAGAAGTGCATCATTGGCGGCAGGATATGAAGAATCATAGCCTTGTTCTACTTTCTGCTCACTCTGCTTCCTGTGTGCAGCTGAGATGTGATCAGCTAGGTTCCTGCTCATGCCTCATGCCTGCCTACTGCCACGCCTTTCCCACCATTAAAACATCACCTAACCCTCTGGAACCACAGCTAAAATAAATTCGTCTATCACTTGCTTTTGTTCGTGGTATTTCATCACAGCAAAAGAAACATAACTAATATACTTTATTAGTGGGGAGAATGCCTTCCTTACAGGATTATCATAAGGACCACAGGAGAACACCCCTGTCAAGTGTGTGGCGTATGGGAGTGCTCAATAAATGCTACTTTTGTTTACTGCTACAAGCCAGGTGCATGCTGGGTACCTGGGTAACCCTGAATCAGGGGTGGAGCTATTTCAGACATGAGACTGTCCCAGGAAGTATTCCACCTAATCACATGAAGGCCCATGCATCTTAAGGAACATCATTTCCTATTCATTCACCCAGCTGAGGATCTGGCCTTGGGCTCCTATAAACCAGGAAGCCCCCAATGACTCAGCTAATGTCTGAGGGTGACAATCTTCTCCAGAAACCCTCTACTCGACTGCCTTTGTCATTCACCAGCCCAGGGCTCTGGAGTCTCCCAAGAAAGCACACTTACACTAACAGTTAAAGTCCTTTATGTTCACATAGTTCCTAATAAGGCCTCATTCTCAACCCAGCCCTTGGAAGCAAACAGAACCCTTCCTGTGGACCAGAGAGCTTGCGAAGCTGCTCTGATCAGCACAGCCCTGCTGACATGTTCCCTTCAGCTTATCCTCTTCAGGAGACTGAGGCCCGTGGACAGGAACAGGAACTCTCTGAACAGGAGACACAGAGGCCCACTGTGCCCTACACCAGCCTTGTAGCCATGTCTTCTGTCCCTGGGGGTTGTGACCAGGCTAGGCTCGACCAAGTTAGTATTTGTCTCTGCTTTCTAGGCATTTCTGTGCCTCCTTTTTGGCATAAGTATCCTCATCCTAAAGTCAATAAGCATGCAAATATTCATGGACATAGCAAAATAATGCCTATAAATAAAGTCACATTTTAAATGTACCAAGAAACTTACTATGGGAAAACTGTACCATGACAAATTCCTTCACAAGTGGAATAATTGGTCCCTAACTTTCTGTTTCAAATGAGGACTGAACCCAGGACCTTGCACATGCTGGGCAAGTACTCTACCAACTGAGCTATATACCCAGCCACTGATTTGCCCTTTCTTTAGCTCAGGCATGAGTCTGAAGAAGCTTCAGGGGTCTTTGCCAGATCTTCTCTGGTACTTAAGTGCTCGGAGGAACTTTGGGGCTGTCCACTCACTTTTATCAGAGGAAGGGTCAAGTGAGAAGTCCAAGCCCAGCAGAAAATCAACTGAGTCAACCCTGCTCTACATCACCATGTGCTCCCTAGGACCCTGCGCCCAGCTTCAGGTCTCTGACTATCTATCCCTTTCCCCAACTTTTCCAGTTCCATTTAATCCAAGGATACAGCATAGCCAGCAGGCACCCAGGGGTGAGGCAGGAGGGGAACAAGGACCCCAAAGCCAATCACTGCAAAGAAGAGGTAGAGCAGCCAGGCCACAATCTGGAGCGGGTGAGGGGGCCAGCTCCATCCATTCCTGCGAGACCGCTGGCCCTGCAGTTCTGGGGAAGCTCCACTGTCCTGGGAAGGCGCTGTCCACACACTCTTCTCAGGGGCTGTCTTGTTGGAGGGTTTGCTGCAGATATTCATCTCCAGAGGGAGAAGAGTAGAGCGCATTAAGCCCAAAGGGCCCAGTGGGAGTGCAGGGTCCCGGCTGCTGCCAGGGTTTAGCAGGGCTGTATACTCGGCAGGGGACCTGGGGTCTAGTCTAGTAGTTACATGCAGTTGGGGGCAGGGTGGTAATAAAGAACAGGCTCTGACCCCAGCCTGGCCAGGACAAGGGAGGAGGGTCCAGAGTTACTCAGGACACAGTGTGGCTGCCCATTACTCAAAGGGCTCTGTCTCCACAGCCATAAGAGTGAAACTCAATAAGACATGTTCTCATCTGGTAACAATATCAGGCTGGGGCCAGAGCGATGAGAACACATGCTGATTCTGTTAGGATTAGTCACCTCCGTCCAGAGATCCAAATCAAGTGTCAGAGAGGGCCCCCCTTATCCTTTCTGCTGAGGGAAACAGGCAGTGGGGGTGCTCAGAAAGGAGATCTGGCCTCAGCTGCTCACAGACATAATCCCTTTAGGACCAGGGACCAAGAGCTTCTCCCCTGTGCTTCAGAGGGGCTCTCTATGGTTTCTTGGCTGAGGATGAGCCCATACGCAAAAGAGGGGAGGATTCCTTCTAGCAGAATAAATGATCGTGTTTCTCCCAGTCAATCTGGGTGTTGTATAGATTTACCAGAAGGGTAAAGGTCACTGAGAGAGCTCCAAGAAAGACCAAGTGTTGGCCAGAGACAGACCACCAGATGGCAGCAATCCCCTACCCTGGCCTGCCTTGCTACAGCCAGCTGCTGGCCAAGGCAGTAGGGGCAGTAGGATCAGCTTGTCCTTACAGGAGGGAGAACACTGCCCACCAGTATCTTCTGGGCCCACAAACCAAGCAAACAGGCCAGTTCTGAGTTCTTGGTGGGAAGACCAGGAGCTAGCAACAAAACCCAGGCAGCTGGACACTCCTTTCAGGAGCCCACATGGTTTGCAGATGCAATGTCCCTTACAGTGACTCCTAGCTAGGGCTGCTGTTTTGAAGGAGCTTCTGGAAACTCTGGGAGGTAGAACCTAACGAGGGGAAATGGGTCAGTGGGGATGGGTTTAGGAATGCTAACCCTGCCTACCCCCTGCCTTACTCTCTACTGCCTGGTCTGCTATGATGTAAACAGCTTCCACCACCATGAAAAGAGCTACTCCACCATGATGAGTTCGAACCCTCTGAAACAATGAGAAATAAATCCTTGCTTCCTTGGGTGGTTTCTTTCAAGTTCTATCGTTGCAGTTATGCAAACATAGATAATAAACTGACCAAGCCAAAAAAAAAAAAAAAGAAAAGAAAGAAAGAAAGAAAGAAAGAAACTCAGTACTTCTACCTGGAATAACTGGCCCAAAGACCACAAAATGTAACTGGGTCATCCCTGCTCACTTCAGGCATCCCCTGATACAGGGAGATTTCCATCCCCTGAGCAGAGTCAGGGCCCTTGTGCTAAGTCCTTATTGGGACTGTGACAGCAATTGAGAGTACTCTGCCATCCTCATGTCTACCACCTTGCTACATTAGTGTCCTTCAAAGACAGTGAACATGCTGTAATTCATTCACCTCTGTCCCCATGCACCCCCCCCCAAGGATCAGGAGATATACCTTGTATATAGCAGATGCTCAGTGAATGTTGGATGACTTGAAAACATCTGAAATAAAAGCAAATATGTGTAAGAAAATGATGTATAGTCCTGGCCAACCAAGACTGAAGTGACTGAGGCAACACCGTCTTGTTCTGACTCCATCTGTGGCTGCTTAGACAGTTCTCAGCCCCCTACCCCCAGCAATTACAGCTGCCTTGGCAACATACTTGGGGTTTCCATGACCCTGACCTCAGTGCAGATGTATTCACCAAAATAATTCATATTTATACAAACTTAAACTAAAATAACCAAAGGTATAAGTCAAATTAATTGTTGTGTGTCTGAAGTAACTGCAAGTGTTGCCAGGTTACTCTGACCCTCATCTGACATTGAAATCATTGTTTTTTGCCTTTGAAATCACTGAATCCTGATCTTCAGCACCAAGAGACTGAAGCATGAACCCTCTCTTGGTCACTGGTCAAAATGAAGGTTCTTACACTCTTAATTGGCTTAATCATGGTGGTTGTCAGGACCTTTCTCTAACTGAACGATGACAAGGCCAGGTGGTCCACTCCACTCTGCCTTCAGATGTCCCATCTCACCCTTCCACACAGCTGCGACATGACTCAGTGACCTGTCCTCTACCCTTACTTCCTCTACCAACTGGCTGTCATCCTGACTGCTGGACATACACTCAAAGCCACACTTTCCCTCAGCCCTCCTAAGACCAGGCCTGGCACCCCTCGAAGCCATCTCTGGATGGTCTCATCTCAAAGCTAAATGGAGTGACCTGAGTTTTCTTGAGACCAAGGTCAAGTCCCCTGATCACCTGCCCTGCCTTTGATAAGAAGTGCACAGGATGGGAGAGCCCTGGCTTTGGAAGAACCAGGTCTAGGTTTGTCTTTTGGCTTTTACTTATTAGCTTTTCCTCTGAAAAGTAGGGGTGCGAATGCCCCCTACATAGGATGGTACTGCAGGCAAATCCTACAAGTAAATGTGCTCTGCATGGTAATGTAATTACTTCACATAGCTCTCTGGTTTGTCTCCTATCCATAGGCTGCAGTATGGTGTCTGATCCTACAAGGTCCATGTCCAAAATGAGAGGACTGATTAAGGTTGCCACAGGAACAAGAAAACAGACATTAAAACACAGACTTGCAGGCTACAGGTGTAGCACAGGGATAAAGGACTTGTCTAGCATATGTGAGGTCCTATATTTCGTTCCCAGATGCATACAAGCACATGCACACACACACTCACTCACGAAATGCGTGTGCACACTTGCATGGAGGACAACTCAGAAAAGTACAGTGATTGTAATCCACTATATGATAAAAATTATAGGAAAACCATTTAGTTACCCTCAGAAAGAAATTTGGGGCTTTTTGTTGTTGTGTTGTTGTGTTTGTTTGGTAGGGTTTTGGTTTGGTTTGGTTTGGTTTGGTTTGGTTTTTTGAGAAAAGGTTTCTCTGTGTAACAGCCCTGGCTGTCCTGAAAGACACTTTGTAGACCAGGCTGGCCTCAAACTCATAGAGATCTGCCTATTTCACCCTCCCAAGTGCTGGGATTAAAGGTGAGTGCCAACACTTTCCATCCAGAAATTTGTATTTTTGAATTCCAAACACTATTGCCAAGAATTTAGCAAGTTTATCCATAATTGTTATAAAGCTGAACCGCCAAAATGTGTTGACCATAATATTCTGACTTGCATTAATGCTTTTATATCTTTTTGTTTGTTTGTTTGTTTGTTTGTTTGTTTTGAGACAGGTTTTCTCTATGGCTTTGGAGCCTGTCCTGGAACTCCCTCTGCAGATCAGGCTGGCCTTGAACTCACAGAGATCTGCCTGTCTCTGCCTCCTGAGTGCTGGGATTAAAGGCGTGTGCCATCATTGCCCAGCAATGCTTTATATCTTTGTATATTTAGTATTCATACACATGCCAGGCATGGTGCACTCAGGAGACAGAGGCAGGTGGACCTCTGTGAGTTCAAGGCCAGTCTGGTCTACCTGGTAAGTTCCAGGATAGTCAGGGAGACCCTGTCTCAAAAAAAGAATGAATGAATGAAAGAAAGAAAGAAAGAAAGAAAGAAAGAAAGAAAGAAAGAAAGAAAGAAAGAAAGAAAGAAAAGAAAGAAAGAAAAGAAATTCACACACACAATGGGGAAATAGCCAAATCTGATTTCTCACCCCTATTTTTTTCATTTACAATCAGTCCTTTATTTTATTTTTTCTAAGACAAGGTCTCTTTATGTAGTTCCAGCTGTCCTGAAATTTGCTACATAGATTAGGTTGGCTTTGAACTCACAGAAATTCACCTACCTCTGCTTCCCAAATTCTGGGATTTAAGGCATGTACCACTATGCCTGGCCAAAATCATATACTTTGATACCTTTTGATCCTTTAAGAGAAAAAAATCTAACGTTCAGAATTATCAATAATAGGAAATGAGAAAACATTGTTCTGAGACAAGCTCTTACTTACTATGTAGCCATTGCTAGTCTTGACCAGTTGCCTCTTCCTCCTGAGTACTGGGATTATAGGCATGTGCCACCACACCCAACTGCAAAAAGAAACTGAGAATGAAATACTCTACATCACAATAGATTCTTCTGTGTGTATATGTATCCGTATGTGCGTGCATGTTTGTATATATCTGAGTGCGCATGTGAGGGGGTATGCATGGGTTTGAATGTAGAGGCCAAAGGTAACCTTAGTGTCAGGTGCCATCCACCTTTATTCCTTATTTATTTACAGCATGTGTGTGCACATGTGCATGAGTGCAGGTTCCCAGAGTCAGAAGAGGTCACCAGGTTCCCTGGAACTGGACTTACAGGCAGTTGGGAGCCATCTGATGTGACTGCTGGGAAGGAAGGCAGCCAGGTCCCCTTCAAGAGAAACAAGTGCTCTTGACCAATGAACCATCTCCCCTTCTACTCTCTCAAAGGGAAGGGAGCTACAGCGATGTGAACTACCCTGTAGATGCTGGCAACTGAACCTGGATCCTCTGCAAGAGCAGCTAGTTAGCCATATCTCCACTCCCAGGGGATCTGACACCCCCTTCTAGCCCCCAGGCATGCACATGGTACACAGACATTCATGTAAGCAAAACACCCATAGACAGAAAAATAACAATTTTTAAAACCTTTTTATATTTATAGGCATTTTGCCTATATGTATATCCATGGAGGTCAGGGAGACCTGTAACAATGAGGTTTCTTTAACCCCCAAGTAGAGGGTGCATTCTTCCAAATGGCTTTTGTAGCCAAAGTTTGCTGGGTTCTTTGCCTCCAAAGGCTTTTGAATTGCAAGCAGTCTGCTTTGCTCAAGCCGTGGCACAGATCATATGTGTTTCTCCTTGAGTTGGACACTGGAGAGCTAGGCATGGGAGAGTAGCTACAGCCTAACTGTGAACACAGTTCTGAAGTTGCTTTCTTAAGTGGGTGGTCCCAAGAAACAAACACACTGCCTTAAAAAAAAAAAAGACAGTCTCATTGTAGCCATGACTACCCTAAAACTCATTATGTAGCCCAGGTTAGCTCAAACCCTTGGCAATCCTCCTGCCTCATGCCCTTGAAAGCTGAGGTTGCAAGTGTGAGCAAATATGTGCAGCACAAGTATTCTGACACACACTTCTCTATCTCTATTTTCCTTTTAATTTAGTCCAAGAGACTAGATAATTTGATTAGTGGATTTTACTAATCCATTTATATGTATCTCAACTTGTTATGTATAGACCAGAATATCCTTTAGATGTCAAGATTATGCCACCACACTGTCTTGGCTTGACATTCTGATTTTGTCACTATACCTATGGCCACCACCAAAAGTAGGGACTTACCATCCACATGTCTGTTTCTTCCTTTGGAAACTGCCTCAAGGTACAGGGCTGTTTACTTATGGTGGCAGAGAAAGGGCAAGTCAGGCTTAGGGTCCAAATTTAAATCAAAGATGACAAAAGAAAAAAAATGACAAAACTTTCTTTGGAACATCCCCAGGTGAGCAAATCTTTGTCCCTGGTTTGTGGAAATAAGCAAAGGTCATCAGATCAAGCCCCACGAATACAGCTGAGCTGGTAGTTCTCTGAGGCAGATCTCTGTGGGTTCTGCAACACTGGAGATTGAACCCAGGGCCTTGAAAATGTTACATAAGCACCCTCTCCCTGGGCTATATTCCATCTAAGCAAGCAAGTACTTTGAAGGGGATATATGAATTTAATCCCAAAGCCTAGTCTTGCCTTTGTCAACTCCACAACTGAAAAGCCGTGCACCTTGAAGGAATCTGTTTCTCAAGAGAGAAACAGAGCACGAGGCTGATATGTTGACAGAGGCACCCCTAGTGTTAAATTACCCGAGTCCTGAGGGAGGAGGAATCACCATCCCAAGATGGAGGCTTGCTACAATCTTGGGGGTAGCTTTGGCTCCAGATTAAGATACTGTTAGTCTAGAGAAGTGTCACTTGCCTATGACTTTAGATGCAGGGATGAACTTCTTAGAAGCAGCAGCAATCCTCAGGAGCAGACACAAAGGACAGCCAGGAGGACACTGCCTACCCGCAAACCCTGAGAGAGCTAACTCCGAACTGGATGATTTTCTATCATTGAATTGAAGGCCACAAATTCTTTTTGGCCCAAAAAAATTTCATTACAAGGGCTGGGAGGTCGGACCAAATCCAAAATGGGGCCCACAGCTGAGAGCAAGTATTGTCATCAGGCTTGGGGACTTTCTCTGGCTGTCCCTTCCCTCTCAACAGCCCTCTGGGAGTCCAAAATGAAAGATATGTGGCTCTATTCCCCAAAACATGACCAGATGGTGCACTCAGCCCTTGGCCAGGCAAGGCTTACGGGTGCCCAGGCCTATGTGCACTGAAGGGTATAAACACAGATGACACTAGGTACCTCCCCTCCCCAGCTTTCCTTTCTGAGGCCCAGAGACACACACAGCAAGCAACATCAGGGAGGTGGGTACTTGAGTGTTTTGGACAGTGCTTCGCAAGGGTGAGTTTCACAGATAGAGTGTGCCAGGGAGTAGTGAGAGATAGACACTGAGATCAGTTAGGCTTAGGTGAGATGCTCTGGGCACTGCTCAAGAAGCCACAGGGAGTCAAAGGAATTTTTTGTTTTGTTTTGTTTTTTGTTTTATGAGACAGGGTTTCTCTGTATTGTTTTGGAGGCTGTCCTGGAACTCACTCTGTAGACCAGGCTGGCCTCGAACTCACAGAGATCCGCCTGCCTCTGCCTCCGGAGTGCTGGGATTAAAGGCGTGAGCCACCACCGCCCGGCGAGTCAAAGAAATTTTAAAACAGAGTATGATGCACAACTTTTAGTTCTAATCTCGGTAGAGGAGAGGGCATAAGCAAGACCAGAAAGGGCATGGGATGAGGTGACAGCAGGAGGCTGCCCCAGGAGGGCAGTGACTCCATAATCCTGTCCCTTAGGAGTTGGCCAGAGGGTAAGGTCGGGAGTACAGCTGCATGTTTAGTGGACTGAGTAGTATAGAACCCTTGGTAAAATATTCATGTGCCTTCTGCTTAAAAAGGACAAAGCAGCCAGGTAGCAGTGGTGATGCATCCCTTTAATCCCAGCACTTGGAAGGCAGAGGCAGGTGGATCTCAGTGAGTTTGAGGCCAGCCTGGTCTACAAAGTAAGTTGCAGGACAGCCAGAACTATTACACAGAGAAATGCTGTCTTGAACACCAAAAAGAAAGCAAACAAATAAATACGAGAAGGACAAAACATACAGATGCTGGCAAGGATGGAAGGGAGAAAGGGCAAGGAGATGCACAGACTGTCAGAGACAAAGGTCTGCTACCTAGGCATGGACTTGCTTTACATCTGCAGAAGACTGAAGGGGCTAAGCAGGTCCTTCCCGAGTCCCTGCGAGGAGGCCACGTCAGTATAACAATAATCTTTGCTATTTAACATTCATTTGCTAAAATCCTTAAATAACATTTTCAAAATAAAATTAGGCTACCTTAATATACATGCTTAAATTCAACGAAGAAAATCTTAGCTGGCAGTGGTGACAAATGCCTCTAATCCCAGAACTCCCGAGGCAGAAGCAAGGTGAATCTCTGGGTCTGATTATTATACATAATCAATGCAGGCCAACCAATGTTAGATAGTGACACCTGTCTCAAAACAGCCAAGAAAAGAAAAAAGGAAGCAAAATCTTAACATTTTGAGTTCTCATAATGAATGGTATAATAGCTGTATGACTGATCTACTACTCCCTGCCTGCCATTGCTACAAAAAAAAAAAAAAAATTAGGTAGCCAGGAGGCTAAGGCAGGAATATCACCAGGCCAAGAGGTTCAAAGCCAGCTTGGGCAACATATCAAGACACTAAAATCCTAGCTCAAATAACAATATTAATAGTATCGATAAATTCAGAATGCTGTTCTGATATTCATGCGGATTTAGCTAAAGCAACAAGACTGGAGTGCAAAGTTCTGCCGCTGGATTACTAAAAGATGCCTGAGGACTTCAGAATCAACTCAGAGGAAACCAAGAAACCTCGAAGGGAAGCCAGTAGCATGGTGTATATCTTTAATCCCAGCACCCAGGAGGCAGAACTCTGTGAGTTCAAGGCCAGCCAGGGATATGCAGTGAGACACTGTCTCAAAACAACAACCACCAAGCTGAAAGGAAGGCTTAGAGGGCTCAGAGATCTAGCCCTCTTTCATGCCGAGGTTGGAAAACTGAACCAGGCTGCCTGGAAACAGAGTCTTCTTCTGCCTCTTGCACTGCTGTTCATACTTCAAGGGAGCTGGGGCAAATTTCACGAGTCCCACTTATTTGGTGTCTTCTTTATTCATGTTTCAAAAGTTAGCCAGAAGGCCATTTGGTAATGTCTACCAAACCTGAGAACACATTTAACTTGTGGTCCAGACATTCCATTTCTATATTTATCTTAGACTCTCCTAACACACAAAAGTTCACTGCATTGTTCCTTGTAATAATAAAGAACAAAAGCAAATATAAGCATGCTCTGGAATATGCACACAAGGGAATGCTATGCAGCATCAAAAGCAAGGGAAGACGTTACTCTTAAGATAAAGTTATGTCAACACACAAGACACACAATTATAGAGTGAGCTATCAAAAACCGAGGCTGGGGGCTAGAGAGATGGCTCAGCAAGGTTCTGACCCTAGCACCCACTACATGGTGGCTCAAAATCATCTTTAGCACCAGTTGTAGGAAACCTGACACTCTCTTCTGATCTCCAAGGGCACCAGGCATGCTTATAGTACACAGACATACATGCAGGTAAAACACCCTCAAACATAAAATAAAAATAAATATTTTTAAAAAAGAGCAGCTATTGCTCTTTCAGAAGAGTAGATTTCAGTTCCCAGAACACAAACTAGGAGGCTCACAGTCACCTGTATCTCCAGCTCCAAGCAATTGAATGCCCTCCACATATGTGACAGGTAGACATATATATCATATACACAAATGCACATATTAAATTTTTTAAAGACCATCACCATTTGGGAGACTAAGGCTGGAGAACTGCAAGTTCCAGGTCTAGCCTGGGTTACA